GGATGTTTGTTTCCTTGCTTAATTGAACTGGTGCTACAGAACTGCCCGAAGTTGAAAGAGTTGCCCTCTATGTCTTCTAAGCTCGAGAGATTGGTGATATATAAAACTGGGTGGACGACTATGAATTTTGGTAGCAATGCAAATCCTATTCCCCTTGAAAGATTAGAGGTCTATAACTGTCAAAACATCGCATCTCTTTATCTAGCTGTTGAAACAGCAAGGCTTGCAGCACTAAGATACTTGAAAATTAAAAATTGCCCGAATCTGTTTTCTTTGGGAAGATATCGAAAAGTGGAGACTACTAATAATTGCCATCTCATGCTCAGCGATGTCTTTATAAGTGATCCATCAGTGTTGCTAATGGAGCCATTGAGAAGTATCGCCTCCTTAAAAAAGCTGAATATTTGGTCAAATGATGAGTTGGTTTTCTTTTACAAATGAGTCGGAGCAGTGATTTCTGAAAGCTAGGTCTTCTCTTTCTGAGCTGAATTTTTTATTTCTCAATTCCTTACAATCTCTACCTTCCTTCTTGGAAAGCTTATCTTCACTTCAGATTATATATATTTATGTTGTTCCCATGCTTCGGGAATTACCCAACCTTCCTCCCTCTTCGGGAAACTACGATGCTGCTCCTGGTTTGCGCTATATAGAAGATGAAGAAAAGTGCTAACCGCAGCTGAAACTTTATTTATTTGCAACCAAGATTGATTGATTCCGCACCTAACAATTTCTCTGAAAAAAAGATGGGTTAACTTGCAGAAACCACTGCTCTAACTCATTTGAAAATGAAACTAACATTAATTTGCAGCGTTTGGAGTTGGGAAGATTTCAAGCACATTGTAGATCTCAACTTTTGGATGAGAAGGTGCTTGAGAATTTTATACCACATGAAAATCTAAAGAAACTGAGGAGAAATGCTTACATGGGTGCCAGGTCTTCAATATTCGCCTTGTTGTAGCCCTTTTTGAGATCCTGTACTATATCAAGCATTTCTTGAGAGCATGGATTATCTGCGTTCTTACCTTCTTAGCCTTTCTTCTTTCTACCAACTTCACATTCATATGGGTTTCATTTACTCAAGTTTTGGATTGAGGCTGCTAGATTTTTTTTCTTCCTATGAGACTTATTATTACTCAAATGTTTGATCAAATAAGTCTGTCCTTTGGGTGGGAAAGAATGAAAGGAAAATTTCTCGTCCCTTTATGCTGTTTTTATATATTTAGGAATTAATGGAATGGCAGGAAATATGGCCATCACATCTCCTCTACTTCGTCCATTTTAAACAGGAAGCGTTCTCTATGTTCATCTGAAATGTTCCTTTTTTCAGATCGGTGGCTGCCTCCTTATTGAGAAATTTGTTTTGTTTGTTTGTTTTTTATTTTTCTCGAGAGGGCTATGATTAGTTATATGGCCCTAGGGGTTCTCCTGGATTGGCCTCTGGATGGCCTCTCTTCTGTTGTGTTTTTTTACATACATGAATTATAGGCCTTGAGGGGCTGTTTTGCAACAAGCTTGATTTAATTACGGCTTCGGTTCCGGTGGCTTTCTTAATGTTTTCTAAAGAAGTTTAGGGTTTAGGAATCTTTGTGTATTGTTTCTACAATTTCTTGAGAACCTGGATTGCATGGCTTCTTGCCTTCCTAGCCTCTTCTCTCCAAAAACTTTACATTTATAGGATTCCTCAGCTCAAGGAATTACCAGACCTCCCTCCCTACTTGAAATCTCTGTCAATACTCTACTGCCATTCCGACTTGAAGGAGCGCTACCGAAGGTTCTGATTGGCACAAGATAGCTCACATTCCTTATGCAATCTTCCTACCGAGTAGGACCACTTGCTTTAATGAAATTTTCTAATCTAATGCCGGTTTACGAAGTGTGGGAATTGAAAAAAAAAATACACCAGAAGTGAACGTTACATTTGTTTTATTTGCTTGATAAAAATGTGAAGTTTCAGCCAGAGCTGTGGTTGGTAGAGGAAACAAAACATGGTGATGATCCAAGCATCAACATCGTGCTGAAGATTAATGACCAACATGCAATACTTAGGCAGGAAAGAGATGATGGGAAATAATGAATACAGGTAACCACAAATTATCATTTAAATCTTTCATATATAGTAATTCAAGTCATAAGCTAGCTTATTATTTATATGATTCGGGTCATTATCTATCATTTGCTTTCAATCATCATGCAGGAACATGTTATTTAGTTAAATTCATGTTATATACATACTTATTATAATAAGTAATAACTATCAGTGCATACTTATTTTCATTTAAATCATGTTTCCCAGTCTGGGAATTTCCCATTATTGTGTAATTCAAAAGCTATAGCTTAAGAGTAAGTGGGATTAGAACAATTTGTCAGGTTTTCTTACTTGTTTAAATAAGTATTATACAGTGATTATTTTATTGTTAATGTTTATTTTCATTTGATAATTATGGTTTGTGATCTTGAATTAGATCGAGGTGCCTTCAATGCCGTTAAAAGTTAAAATATTGATGATTCCCCTCCAACGGTGTCGATTATGGAGCATAAAGAACAACTGAACAGAAACATGGAGAAAAGATCTGCAGGCTTTGTCCAGCGGGTAAGAATTTGTCCAATCTGTACACCAAAACTGACAATATAGTTCATGCAAGCCTAGTTTAGTTTATTTTCTAAACCATTTTGAAAGATCTGCAGGCTTTCACTGGTCAACAATGCCAGATTTAATGGTTACACTTGAAAACACCATGGTGCTACTGAAATACTAAACAAGTGGAAATCAATATTACTTAGTTGTTCGCATGGAATTGGCTAACATTTGCAACTATCAACAGCTTGCCGATCAAGAAGATGGGAATTATTGAGTTATAGAGTTTAATTAATGTCCTATGAAGAAACATAGAGCGGAGATTATTACGTGCGGAGCCCGGACGGAAGAACCGCCCAGATCCTGAGAGTGAGTATGCGATACAATTACTGTGCACATCATGGTTTTATTGGCACTCATAGAATCCAGATGCAACTCCGGTCCGGACTCCGTATATCATAATCCCTCTATGTGGATTGAAACTCATGGAAGGTATATAATATTCATTATTTGTTTCATTGTAGAGATTTTGGAGAGTTCACCTGTAATTTCAGTTACTCAAAATTTTCATTATAAAAGGGGTTTTGTTATTACAGCTTCATTACAAC